CCTTGAGCAAGTCACTTCTCTCTGGACTTCAGATTGCTCATCTATGAAAGGAGAATGAGGGCACCTGGGTGGCTCAGTCTTTAAGCGTCTGACTTTGGCTCAGGTCATGATCCCACAGTTCATGAGTTCGAGTCCCACATTGGGTGAGCTCGTGCCCTGCTTTGGGTAAGCTCGAGCCCAGCTTCAGGTAACCATGAACCCTGCTTTGGGTGAATATGAGTCCCGCTTCTCTCTCTCCCTCTCTCTCAAAAATATAAATAAATAATAAATAAATAAACAAACAAATGGAGAATGAAGTTGCCACTCACTTTATCTCCGGGACTCGTCCAGATCTCAAGAGCTAGGAGCGTAAGTTCTAGCCTCAGTGGTTAAACTGCTCATAATGTGCCCTGGACAAGAGCCCCCTGAACCTCAGTCTCCCCCTCTGCCAAATGGGGTGCCTGGGAAGACTGGCTGAGCTCACACAGGGGAAAGGCCCAGCCCCGGTGAACAAACACTCGCTCTTCCCTGTGCCCCCAGATACACACTCCACAGGGAAGCCTGCCTCACGTGGTGCCTCCCAGGCACGCACCTGGCACTGAGGTTGGCCTTGTCCAGGTTGCTCTGCACCTGCAGCTGGGCCAGGTCCTTCTCCTGGAGCACCTTGTCCCGCAGCTGCTCCTCCAGCTGGGCCTGTAGCAGTGTCTGCTTCTCCAGGGCCGCCTCTGCCCGGCTCTCGGCCAGCCGCAGGCCTGCGCTCAGCCCCAGGTCCGCCTCCTGGATGGCCCTTGAGGTCCGGGCCAGCTCCCCTCCCAGCTGCAGCAGGTCCCTGGTGGAGAGAGCACAGAAGGGGGATGGGATGGCGGGGTATAAATTAAAACCATCCCAGGATAGTTTAATAGTTTAATTTAACTATAGTATAAACTAAAACTATCCCAGGATGTTAACAGTGGGATGCCACTATCAGATGGTCAAAAAAAAAAAAAAGTCCCATAACACACAGTGTAGGTGAGGCTATGGAGAAACAGGCTGTGCCTACACTGCTGGCAGGAGGGTAAGTGGGTGTAACCACAGCGCAGGGCAATTAGGAAGCACTCTGAAAAGTATCAATGGGCAGGTTCTTTGACCCACCGACTACACTCCTAAGAATTTATCCTACAGATATGGCCCAATGCAAGGGAAGTGACCTGTGTATAAAGTGATCCACTGCAGTACTGCTCATGTAAGAAACACTGGTGACAATCTACATGTGCATCAAAAGAGGGCCACTATTGGGTGGCTCAGTCAGTTAAGCATCTGACCAGGTCAGGTCATGATCTCGTGGTTTGTGGGTTCAAGCCCCGCATCGGGCTCTGCACTGACAGTGCTTGGGATTCTCACTCCCTCTCTCTCTCTCTGTCCCTCCCCGACTTGTGATCTCTCCCTCCCAAAATAAATAACTTAAAAAAATATTGTGGGGCACCTGGGTGGCTCAGTCAGTTAAGCATCTGACTTTGGCTCAGGTCATGATCTCGCAGCTCATGGGTTCGAGCCCTGCGTCGGGCTCTGTGCTGACAGCTCAGAGCCTGGAGCCTGCTTTGGATTCTGTCTCCCTCTCTCTCTGCCCCTCCCCATGCTTTCTCTCTCTCAAAAATAAATTTTAAAAAATATATATTGCTTTGTGTAAAGTAAAAACATAACTTAAAAATAGAACTACCCTATGACCCAGCAATTGCACTACTAGGTATTTATCCAAAGGATAAGGTGTGCTGTTCCAAAGGGGCACACACACCCCCATGTTTATAGCAGCGCTATCGACAACAGCCAAAGGATGGAAAGAGCCCAAATGTCCATCGATGGATGAATGGATAAAGA